CTTGAGTCGTCCGCAGCATGAAATGCCTGTGAGAGTAAACGATCGAAATTGTCGTTGGCGTTGGGAGGGCGATAGACACAGCCAACGAGTAAGGAGAACTTATTTTTTAGTGCAACCTGGAGCCAGCAGCTGCCTTTACTGCGGAAAAATGCGGGAGGTCCAACGGCAAAAATGTAAGTGTTTGCTTAACGTAAACGCAGCTGCCCCCACCACGGCTATCTTGGCGATCATTTCGGATGCAATTATAGCCTAAAAGAGAGAGTTCGGAGTCAGCTACGGTGGCTGATGCCCACGTCTCAGTTACTAAAACAATATCTGGACAATGGACGAACCCCAGAATCTGAAGCAAAGGCATCTTATTAAGCAAGGATCTGGCATTTAAAACAAAAAGTTTGAAGGGAAAGGCTGTTAGTTTTTGAGGGAGGTGGGCTACGTCGTCCAGTTCTGGACTGCCTACGAAGCAAACGGTCCGGATGCAACCATCCGGTTCTGCTAAAAACTTTGTGGCATCGAAAAATTCTGACGTGGATAAAAGGGGTAGGACTTGGAAGAGGTAATGACGGGCAGGTAAACTGGTAACCATTGTTAGCCAACTTATTTTCGGCTGAAAATCCGTGGGGCAGATAGTGCAACACATTCCCGCCGGAACGGAACTGAGGATCGGATGAGTTAACTGATCCAGTATAGACATTAGCATGAGGAATACATTGGTAGAACGGCTGTGGAGGAAACAAGTTAGCGGGTGGGGGACGCATTGTTTCCATTGGAGTAGGAGTTCTATTAAACGGCGGGAAAATCGGCATATTCGGCCTAACTGCCTCGATATGAGGGCTGGGGGACACTTGCGAACCCGCTACGTTTTGAGTCGGGGTATTTGAGGCACTGTTGGCCGATTGTGGAGGAAAAGATTTTATAATGGTGCTGGATTTATTGGGTGTCAGAGTGGCTGAGACAGCAAGTGGATTCGCCTTTGACTTAGACACATGCTTGGGATTACTAGGGGTTGCTGTGGGAGTCGACAGTGGCGTGTTTATACCAGGCGTGATGGTGTGTTTAAAGAGCTCAGCATTAAAAGTAGTCGAATTCCCTACGGAATTGACTATGCCGGGATGTGCAGATGCCGCAGATGGTGATGTATAGGACTTATTCAGACTGACAGTATGTGTCATTATCCTGGTGTTGGTTTTTGCCGATTTTAATTTATTCAGTCTTCTCTGCAGGGGTGTAAGGTCTGGCGAAACGGAGCAGCGCCATTTACGGCAGAAGTCTCTAGTTATCTCCCTACTCGACAAGATAAAATCGACTTCTATCATGGAGAAAAGGGTAACTAGTATCGGCGCATTACGGCTAAGCGAGCGAAGTCGCTTAGCTTGTTCGACACTAAAACTCAAGCCACAACTTTGTAGGAACAAATGCGCTCCCTCCATAGCAGATAAGTGGCTCGGAATGTTTCGCAGTACAAAATTATGCTTGCGCTTAATTTTTTCCTCAGTTTCCGAACTTATTACCCCAATAAGTTCAAAAGCTTGTTCAAATACCTTTTCAGAAGTGCTGTTTATGTCGCCATAAATCAACTGGTCGACTATTTCGCCGGCTGATGTCCTGGTCCGACTAGCAGAGGCGTATTTTTGGACGACTGAAGGGTCAAGAGGTTCTACATGTACTAAAGGGATTTGTGAGTTAATCAGATCTGCGGACGGCGAAGAACATACGCCGGCACCTGCAATGTCTTCAGTCACGATTTTAGCACCCAGAGCCGTTTAACACGTGCTCTGCGGGGCATTACAGACAGGAAAAGTTTTTCGTTACAGAAGAAGGGTCAACACGTTGCCAACGTACGGAAAATCGCACTTAAT